GTGCTGGAAAGGGTGGGGGGTGGGAGGGGAGCGGTGGCAAGTGGTAATGTTACTTCAGCCTGGGTTTTGAAGGATTTTGGTTTGCCTAGAGCTAAGGGTGGCACGAAGCTGGCATTTTTGCCATGTGCACCATGCTCAAGGTATCGGATCGGTGAGGTGTTTCTAAGGTGATGCTTTAGTATGGACCTTTATCTGTTAAAAGTGACAGGATTTCTGTCGCTTAAATTTTATATGAAAGCATGGTAGACTGCTCAACTTCCTTCTTCTCTGTTTCTTGGTTTGAGTTGGCTTTTCTTTTGACAGTGAGCAAGCCAGTTTTGAGTTCCAATATATGTATATAAGCTGGAAGTTCATAAATGCAAATAGATGTGCTTTCATCTTGGTATATATTTCATCTTTATATATATTTCTACATATAGACATGTATGTTTAGAAAGCAGAATTTGAAATATAATTTTTCATATGTCTGAACAATGTGACTGTTGCTTTATTGAACTTTAGGCTGACAGATTTATAAGTAATACCTCATTGTCTTTTTTCCTAGTGCTTGACCTGTAATACAGAAATCTTCCAGAATGCTGGAGTCCTATGTAACTCCTATTTTGATGAGTTACGTGAATCGCTACATAAAGAACTTGAAGCCTTCGGATCTACAGTTGTCACTCTGGGGAGGAGATGTTGTACTTAGTAAACTTGAATTGAAGTTGGATGTACTTGAACAGGTATGTTATGTTTACAGTAGTTACAGCCTGCATCCTTGATTTAAAAGAAGTTGACTAAATAATTTACATTGGTCTGCACAGATAAATACTCATTTTAGTACACACAGTTTTTCTTCTTATGCAAGTCCTTGTCTCCCCCTGCATTTAGTTATTCTTGCATTAATTCCATGCCATTTGTTTAGTAATGAATGGTAATTCTTTGCATATTCTGTAAGTTATGGGGTGTGAAAAGAAAGGCTTTTTTTGTGGACATGTTTCTTCTTTCAGTAACCATTGTTTTACAGTATGAACATTAAATAAATTGCTTTTCCAGTCATATTTACTAATTGCATATAGTAACTAATTCAAAATGTCACAAAATCAAATAGGATCTCTTTTTAATTATGCATACTAAACACAGATTTGTGTTCTCTATATTGTTTTATGACTCCAGCTTTCATCATTCCAGTTGTATCTAAACTTTAAGAGTAACCGAGGGATGGATTTGATCAGCTGGTTTGTGTGGATTAGATCAGAGGCTCTGTAAAACTTAGCCTTAAAAAGACAAGCTTGACCATGTAAAACACTTGATACAGAATTTGGAGCCTGCTGTCAATATGAAGTCTTAGCGGAGGAACTTTCCTTCTATGCTTATCTGAGTTGACAACTTGAGGAGCTGAGTGTGTGAGATAAAGCTGTTCTCTGTTGTGCATGGTGTAGCAAGTCTTAGCTAGAGTCCTGTGTCCAGATGTAGTCCAACTGAAGGAGCTGAGAGAAATGCAGCAAAAAATAATGGGAGATTTAGATGATATGGGCACTGAAAGAAGAATAAAATAGACAAGGAATGTGTTTTTAATTTTGAATAAAATAAGGTGAGACAAGATAGGGCAAGAGTTATATGGATGAGATAAGAAAGAACAGAATAATTTGCACTTGGGGAGACTTAGATTGGACATCAAGGAAAATTCTTCTCATGTTTTAATCAGATTATGAGGCATTGGAGTAGGCTGAGGAGACTGCATGGTTTCTGTCAGGGGAGACCTTTTAAAATGTGAAAGAAATATTTATGGTTAATTAAGTATCTCTGATCCTGTTCTGGAAGAAGAGACAATCTTTCAAGAGATCCTGTCCTATTTTCTGTGCTGCCCTAAAGAACCTGATTTGTCTTCCTTCAGGTATTTGCTGGCCCCTGTATCTCAAGTCCTTTTGTTTTGTCATTTTCTTGGTACAGCTTGCCCATACAGCTGATGTGTGGATACTAAACTGCAGCTGTGTCGGATGTGTTCCTCCTGTGACTATTCAAAGCTTTTCTAAATGTATATATTATGGAATCAAAGAGGGGTTGATCAGAAAGGAATTCTGGAGGTCATCTAGTCCAACATCCTGTTCTGAGCAGGGCTGTTACCAGCAGCTTATGGTTTTCTCCAGTTGAGTCTTGAAATCTCCTGTCTTGGTTGTGAAAACCTCCTCTTTGGGTAGACTGTTCCAGGGCTACACCATGTAGGGAGAAAGTTTGTCCTAATAACAAACGATGACTTGGGATGGAGATATCAAACTTGCTATATTACCTGGCTCTGTTAGGATTTTGTTGCTGTCATCTGTGTTTTTCCCTTTCAAATAGTTGCAGTTTGCTGGTAGGTGAACCCTGGCTTCATCTTTGTCTGCCTATGTATCAGCTGGGTACCTAAATATCCAGTGCAATCTGTTGCTGTCATGGCTCTTGTAAAGGCAATTGTTGCTATATATACCTGTGCTCGTGTCTTATCAGCCTGAATGGGGATGTGAATATGAGATGAAAACGAAGTTTAGCTCAAATTAATTTTTTTACATTATTTGTCTGTGTGTTTATGTGAAATGTAGTGATCTTAATTTGACTTTTATTATTCTTTGGAACTTCCCTAGACCCACAGACATTATTTAGGGGGTCTTGCTCTTTTTTTGCAGAAGGGATGCTGCTTTATGCATGCTCAGCAAAACTCTTTTGAGTACGTAGTATGTGGTAATAGGCACGCCCAAGCCTTTGCAGCTGTCAGGGAGCTCCCCTGAAAAGCTGAAGTCTCTAGAAGTTACCAGTATATGTTATTTTATTTGGATTCTCTGCCTGAATGGATCCATGATATCTAAAGTTGATCACTTCCACTGCTCTTGCCTTCTAACATCCTTTCTGTCCTGTGTTGTCATCCCCAGCATGGTTCTGTGCTCTTTATCTGGCATGAGCGCAGCCTTAATTTCATGCTTTAGGCTTTGGATACAAGTGCATGTGCCCTGGATATTATTGTCTGGAGTCTTAAACATTCTCAGAGGATTCCAGCTTTTGTGGAACTACACATGATTATTTGGGAACATTAGCATAGGTGCCAAACTACCTGGACAAAGCATCTTAAAACAGATCTGGGAACAAGTCTGTGCTTTCTCCCTTCACTCCTTGCACTTCAGCTGATGTTAGTGTTCCCATGTCATGTTGCGCTCTTCCAGGCCACCAAACAGAATTGCAAAGAACAGATGAGGAACTGCTGTCTGTCTTCTATAAAATGTTACTTTAAACTATTTTTGGGACCAAGTTGGAACCAGTACCTTATGAAATCAGATGTAATATAGCTGTTGACATAAAAGATTTATCAAACCCAAAGAGAACATTTTTAGTACCTGAAAATATTTTTCATGTTTTTATGTATGTTTATAGGCTCTCATTATATTAAGCTGAATGTTATTGCATTAACTCTGTTTTTGTCCTTCCCCCCGCCTTTTTTTTTTTTTTTTTGACAATACCAGTTCTGTAGTGAAAGCTGAGTACTGGTTTGTACTCGGGTTTGACCTTCTAGGTACAATGTAGCTTTTGTACATAATTATGTCACTCTTTTGAATAGCCAGTTAACTTCATAATTGTAATCTTTAGTTGAAGATTAAATCTAATAAAATTTTGGTACTAGGTTTTTTCCTGTCCTGGATGATTCAATTACTAAGCATTCCAAGAAATTTTCCATCCAGGCATAATAACTGGCATATTGTACAAAAACTACTTCAAGGAAGTATTTTATAATTCAACTTTAATATTATATTTAAATATTCTTTTATGGAAAAGCTTTTTAAGCACTTTTGGCAACTTTTATGTGAAGTCACTATGGTAGCGGAGGTAACAGAACTACCTATGAACTTGCTAACTAGCTTGTGTGTAATGTTTCTGTTGAGATAGTGGTAGCAGAGAGATAAGATACACAGTGAGCTCTTCTTGCTGCTTGTGTATATTTCCATAACATCGTAGCTTATTATGTTAGTTGTTTTACAAACTTAGAAGGGAAAGATGAAGTGGTTTTTGATTGGAAGACAAAGGAGAACTTGATCTAAAGATTACTGAGTTTTATTGTAGTGTGGACTTTTCATACCTGAAGGAATTTGGAATGTACTTAAAATAATTTTAAGGAAATGAGGGCATTAAAATATCTTTACTGTAAGTGTCTGTATTATGTGCCACTGGATTACTTGTGAAATCGAGCCTTGAATGTGAAGAAAATGTATTGGAGTTAATACTGATGTGGAGGAAACAGTACTTGCCTATCACCCCAAAGTTTGGGAGAGTCCTATATTTTAGAGCAAGGGAAGATTGTTAGGGAAAGGGGAATTATGATCATCTAGTCTGCGGTCTTGCATGATGTCAGTCAGTTATTTATGTGTCAAGCCCAGGAGCCTGTTTTCAGATGTCATAATTTTCTGAAGGATTTATATGACACAAATGTAAAATCTAAACCATAAAGTCTAATTAGTCATAAGTACAAAAGATATATTGAGGATTTCATGCAGTACTTAATGAAAGGGGAAAGATTGCACAGGAAAGGAAGAAGAATAATGGTCTTTGTTATGTTGTATTATGAACAAGTTACTAAATTTGGCACGCATTTGTTTTACATTGTCTACTGAAATAACACAACAAAGATTTCTTTGCATTGCTTTAAGGAAACTTGCTTGTGCAACTAGGGTAATGTCAGACAACATTTGTATCTAAATTCCTTTGAAAAAGAAGAATTGTGCCTTCTAAATATGCTGTGCGTTTGGTTGTATCACTTCATTTTGGAGGATGAACTGAACTTCTGTTCAGTTTCTTTCAGTATCTTAGTTAGCTAGGCAAAAATGAGAATATGTTAAAGCCATCCAGCAAGTAGTGGAAAAAATACCTATTCTAGAATGCCTTTTGAAGTAAACTTAACTTACACTTGTGAGCATAAGTCAGGATCTAAATGGACATTGTGGTATTGATGAGTGACATAAAAAATTACATATCTGCTAGTCTGGAAAGGGCATTTATTACTGTTAATAGTCATAGTTCACTGTCTTGATTCATGAAAGCATTGTCTCTTAAGTTGTAATGTATTTCTAGATTGCACATTTTCTTGATCATTTATTTTCATGGGCCCCCAGAGAGCTGTGGGACATAAGGTATTCTTTCATGTATTGTATGACCAGTGTAGCACCATCTGTAGCTAAACTGCTCAGTACTTGCTTTTTGGTGGTTTAACTGAAATTGGATTAAAATTTTATTCATGTTGATTGTAAGTCTGAGGCTGAATTTTTAGGAGAGGTTTTTAGCTAAAATCCTTCCGTATATTTATGAATGAGATGAAGAAAAAACACTTTGTAAAAACAAATTAACAATTTTCCTCAAACTGTTTTTATGACAAGGTCTACAACTATTGTCTTTTGGAGTGGGGACTTGAAATTAGATGTGATTCTGTGTAAGCGTGGCTGAGTTAGGAGTCAAGAGTTTCCCTGACATGAGGTGTGGGTTTTTTCTTTTTTTTAAACTTCATTCATGAAAGCTCATTAAACCCAAGAACTAATTTACAAACTGAAAGCTGTACTTTGCAAAAAAAAAAAAAAAAAAAGGAGCTATAATTTTGTGTAGTTGTCTTCTCTGAAGATTTTGTCAGCAGTGAATATACTGCATCTAATCTTAGCTCTTGGATGCAAGATGAATGTTTTTGTAGTACCAGTAGAAAGGCTGAAGAAGTGTCAGCCATAGAATGGAGAGGGTGCTTGTCTCTGGTGCTAGGTACTCATGCATAAGAATGGTTAACTTCTCTTTTGGGTGACTAACTAGAGGCTATCTCAGGATGCTAACCTGTCACAGTTGCAGTAGTGTGCAACTGTGAACTTATGACATGGTAGATACTTAAATAAAAATTTTTAGTGGGTTTTCAAAACATATTACTAAGATTTAATTACAGTCTTAAGATGTTAGGCAAATAATGACATTAACTAGCTTCACAGAAATATTCTGTAGGTAGGCTTTATAATATGTCAAGTACTAAATGCAAAATCCAAGTGTCCTCAAATTTTATTCATGTAGAACTTCTATAGAGCAGGGATAAGTTTAGGATCAAGTAGTGCAGGAAAACAGGCTTTCTGGATCCACTTCTAGATGTGTGTATCTGAAATGCCTTAGCAACTTGCCTGCTTGACCTCAGAGTTTCATGGACCTTCTGTATTTAACTCCTACTCATTCGTATGAGTACTGAGTTGAAGCATGTAACTAACTAAACTGAGCTGAGGGGCAAAGGTGCTCAAGCCCTGGGTTTCCCAGTTTTGCCAGGTAAATTCTGAAGTTCTGAACACAGGTTTATGTGCCTGAGTTTACTAAGAAACACAACAGTTAAGAATCTAATGACCAAAGCTATTGCCCAGCATCTAGGAGACTTAGATTCATTTCCTTTCTCACCCTGACAAGATTCACACCTCTAGTTCCCAGCATCTAAGATGAAGACCCAAACACCAGGCTCTAAGCGACTCCAAGTGAAGACATCTGTTGGTTTTTCCCCCAATTAAAACTTTAAACCTTTGTAGCCAAAAATGTCAGGATAGGAGATCAGAAAGGTAAGAAAAGATATACCATTGTTGAAGCCTCATCATTAGAATACTTAGTATTGAGGATGCTGACTTAAAATTCTGGCATAATATCAAATACTGTTTCTTTACCTTTGCACTAAGCACTTATTTCCATTATTTTAAATCTGATTTCCAGTCCTCCGACCAGGTCTCTAGCTGCAGGTGGCTGTTCTGTCTGATAAGTGTTAAGCTCATGCTTCCCAGGAGAACTCCTGAGGCTACTGGGGAAATTTTAACCCTTTGGATTCAAAGTACATGAAGGCATCCAATGTGCTGTCCAGTGCTACCTATCTGAGATCCAAAGAATTTATCTCAACCCCTGCACCTTGTGTTTCCTGCCAACTAGCTGCATGTAGCAGCTGGCTCATTGAGGCTGTCCCACAGTTGTCTGCTCTATGCATTGACTGGATGGAGTGTCAGCATTTATTAGGGGTTCTGGACTGACTTGCACCAGTTTTTAAAGCATTGTGGCATCTGAGTTAGGCCTTGGTGAGGCAGAGTCTGGCTTTAGACAGTGAAGAATTTAATAACTTTGTATTTACTGAGCAGTGTGATGTGAATGGGGCAACCCTTGAATACTGTGGATAAAAAGACAACAAGAAAACTAGATTAACTGCTTCTCTAGTGAGTGCCTCCATCCTGATCATTGAATTACATAGGGGTTCTGCAAAAGAAATAATAGGACATCATGTTTTTAGAAAGGACATCATAAAATACATGAGCCAAGAGTCAAATTGCAACAGCAGTTGTAACTCTACTTCTGGCATTTCCTAATTTAGAGTGTCTGGTTTAGTAACCTTAATGCTTTTATATTTTTTTAATACAACCATTTTAATGTCACTTCTGTTTTAATTCCTATTACAAGTATTGAAAATGGAAAGCATTTTACCTGATTCACTCTGTATAACACAGAGAAATTCTAATTTGTAAGTCAAAGTGCACCAAGTAAATCTTTGCTTTATGGAGTGATTTTTGATTCAGTTAGTATTTTTGTGTTGACCTCTAATCTTTTGTTTGGCTTGTTTCCTTAACCTTTAACATTATTTTAACTCTAAAAAAAAAAAAAAAAAAAAAAAAGAGTACAAATTGTACTTGCATAAAATAAAGGGACCAATTAAACATGTATCTAACAAAAAATAAAAACTCTGTATTTTTTTACTGAAAGTCGTCTAGTTGTAAGTGTGTCATAGCTTTTTGTACAGACTTAATTTTTGTTTGTGGCCAATCTTAAGAGCACTGAGCTCTTACAACTCAAAGTACTAAAATATTTTGGAAGAAATTGCCTTGCTGTGGCCTTGTCAGTGTTAATTCCAAATTTGTGTTCTTCAGAATAATGCAGGTTGCATATCAGTTTACGTATTTACTTTCACCTGGTTCATTTCTACTTGTCCCTTGAATAGTGACATATTTTGCAGTAGCGTCACGCAAGAGAGGTGGTTTTAAACTGTCTTTTGTTATCAAGGACACGGTAATCCAGACGTCTCTTTCAAACAGGCTAATTGTAACATAAGTATGCATGCGATTATGAAGCCAGTTGCCAAAACCCATGGCACACTGCTGATTTGGGGAGGGAGAGTAACTTTTGACTTATGTTTTGTCATAGAACCTTGTTATTTTAAGTTACAGATCTGTCTTGAATTTTGATATGTTTCAGTATAACCACTTTATTTGTTGTTGTTAGGAGCTGAAGCTACCATTTACTTTTTTAAGTGGGCATATTCATGAACTTCGGATTCATGTGCCATGGACAAAATTGGGATCAGAACCAGTTGTCATCACTATCAATACGATGGAATGCATCTTGAAATTAAAGGATGGAGCTCAGGTAAGAAATACGATGAATGCTTTTCTAACATTGAGAGGTTGCTGAAAATAATAGCTTCTATAGGTCACTTTCTTTTAAGCCACCTGAAGAACTAGGTATGTGAAGTTGTGATCCCCGTTATTTTCTGAGCCGCTAGTACTGTTATTCCCATCATGGCTGGTATCTTCCTTTATGCATATTTTTAATTCGTTATTAGCTGTAGTGGTGTTCTTGTGGATGTAAAAGCATGTTAATAGTGTTCTGCCAGAATTTTCCTATGACTAGACAACAAATGGATTTCAAGAGCATGCTACATGCTTCCAGCTTCTGCCTCCCAAGAAGCAGTGCTGGTTGCTTGAGGCAGCTGTGCGTGGCACCACTGTGCATTTTTGAAAAGATGTGTTGTTATTATTGAAGGTGTGCTTTAAAGATCCTGGAGTGCAACTCTCTCTTTTTCCTTTAGAAGTTACAGTACTTGCTTGAGTGTACTTGGAAGGCTCCTTACATGGAAGGGTCTCAAAGGGCTTTTTGTTTAGTTGCAATAATTTGTTCATTACACCGTTTCACAGGCTCAGGAAAGATTTCCTTCCGACACAATGAAGCTGAAATATGCAGTGTTTTGATTTTGTTATATGTGTAATTTAGCTGACAAAAAGTACTTGGTTGTGTTAATGTTGAACTTGTTCCTTTAGTCAGTGTGGTGCTTTAACTCTAGACAGGTTTGGGGGGGGGGGATGTTCTTTGGTTTTTTTGGTGTTTGGTTTTTTTTTTTTTTAAAGTTTTGCTCCCATTTCAATTTCAACAGAGTCCTCCAGGTATATTAAGGATCATGCAAAAGAAAATTCCAATTTGTGCAAGGCTCTCAAGTGTTCAGTAGGATGCTTGATGAGCTGCTAACATTTAACATCGATAATTAGATATAAGCCAGCAAGAACATTGGAAAACACTTTTCCATTATGTTTGATATTTCTTGTAATATCCTTTTACAGTTCCAGAGCTAAAAGGCTTTTGTTGCTGGAGTGGAAATCTCTAGTCCTAGGTATGCCACCCACAAAGCATATGCTTACATTCTGTAGTTAATCGATGTGCATATGTGCATATATATATGTGTATGCACACCAACAGGCAAATGCAAAGTATTTTTCCAATGTTAAGGTAAGATTTTGAGATGTTCCATGAGAAGTGTGTTTTAGAAGCAGCAAATTACAACTAATTATAGAAGTTGCAGAAAAAGATTAGTAGCCCATGACTTTGTGCAACCCAGGACTATTTTGATATTGGACCATGCAGATGGCTACTGCTGGAATGATCAGATTTCCTGCTTGCATGGTATTTGAAACTTAAATTTTGTGGTGCATACAGCAAAAGGTCAAGTGTCATGAATGTAAAGCACTCTCAAAACAAGTATTTGTTACAGATGTTTAAGATTCAGAGGCAAGAAAGGATTTTTGAAAATTGCAACTGACATTTGAACAAATTATTCAGTGGTATGTACACTCAGGAGGGTAAAATTTGGGTCTGTGCCATAGAAAGATTATCTTTGACTAACAAGAATGTAAATGAAAACACTTTTATGCTGTTTTCTGAGGATACGGTTTAAAAAGTTGACAGCTTGACTTTTATTTCTTAAATTGAAATTTCAAAGTGTTTCATAAAAAGAAACTGTTTTGATAAATTCTTGTGTTCTAAATTCCAGTGTGACAGTGTACTTGGCTAAAACCAATTGTCATAAAAATCTTCGTAATCAGTGAATAAAAAACCTAAATGAAATAGAATATCTCTGTGGAAAATGGTAGTAAAATGAACTTTCAGTGAATTTAGCTCTAACTGGAACTGTTCTGCCAAGAACTTCATATCAGCAAAGAGTAAGAAAGTCTAGTTTAGTTTCCAAAAATTTATTGACTTGATCCTTCATTTTCTTCCTCAGGTGAAACCACTAATGAGTACATCCATAATTTCACCTGAGCAAAACATAAAGCTTCTGACCTCAACTTAGTGTGTTCTTTGGGAAGGGACTATTTCAAAGAATGTTTATTTTGAAGATGTATAGGGATTAAAATACACGGCATTGTTTCAAACTGTTGTCCAGTGGACCCTGCAGATTTTTTTTTGTGAGGGAAAAACCCTATCTTCCTTCATGTATTTTTGAAGAGTGCTAGCCCTTTGGAAATGGTTTTGTACGTCTGTGCTTTACTCTCACTGATGCTGTGTCATTGTTAGTTCAGTTTCAGTGTTAGTTTGGTTGTTTTTTTGGCACTGTCTCTCCTCAGCTGAGATAAAAGTTTGGAGTAGACAGTCATGGCTCAACTTCTAGTTTTATGCTAACGTTCTCCTTTTCTAAGCAGAGATGTTGTGTAAGGGGCAAGTTCACCTAGTAATATACAAATTCCACAGTGTAGAATCATTGGTATTTTTAGTGAATTTCGAAGTTTGAGTGTTTTGAAGGTCATTGCTTTTCCCCCTCTTTTCTGTGCTTTTCCTCCTTCCTTTCCTTCTCTATAGGTGATACTACCATTTCCAAAACAAGAATGTTAAATAAATATGGCTACTTCCTATGAAAATTAAACTTAAGTGCATCAGGAACAGAACTTTGCAGTGATGAAAGTGGTGTTCTATTGAACATGCTTTGTATGTTCTCTTTTGGTTATGATTTTGGTTAATGGCAGTAACTGAAGTAGAAATTTGGTGTGAGGCATTTTGCATTGCTTTTTGTTGTCTGTCAGCTTAATGCAGCTGTGCTAGGTTTTTGTTGCTCCTGAACGTAATCTTCTGCAGCACTGAGTTTTAAGTATGACTGCTTATAATGTTATCAAATTCATGAAATATATTGGAAGTACAATTTGAAATGTGTTCTTACACACTTAAATGTGGTTCTAAAGTTTGCTTGGCTTGTAATTAAGTCATGGTAATTGACTCCCATGAGATGGTTCTTTATGAACGTTATGTATTGTTTTAGAGGGTGGTTAAAGTTCTAGTATTATATTCTTCTCATTACTTATCTCCATGTATTAAATCTCAGGACTTTTATCTAGAATTGAAATCCCCTTGATAAACCTCTGTTGATGCTGTTTCTCACCCTGGAGTTTTTCCCCTTTTTGTTCTGTTGGACCCTTCTTCACTCTTTTCTTTTCTACCCAAACTCTCTTGGTGGTTTGTTTTTTTTTTTTTTTTCCCTAAAGCTATTAGAAATTCTTTGCTCATTTCTCTAACCCCCTCCGTGCCACAGTGCCTCTGTGCTTAAACCAGTGTGTGCAAATTGGGAAGGACAAGCTTGTGTCTGTTTCCTTCACCTTCCTGACATAACTAACCACAAGACTAATCTTCTTTATGTTCAACCTTGAATTCTGTGGTTTTTATTCTTGGAACTGACGCAAATGCGAAGATTCAAGGAGAAATGTATTATCTCTATTACTGCTTCACTTTTGAGACCTTGCCTTTAATCAGGACACAGTGCATCAGGAGTATGCTGATGTATATGAAGATGAAAACTCTCTCTACCCCAAGGATAACAAATTATGGAATCAGGGAAGGCTGTAAGATACAAGCACTTACAGGGGCACAGGGAAACCAAGTAGTTGTTTGGATCAGTATACAGAAAATTAAGCACTGTTCCTCTTATGAGGCATTAGAAAGAAGGTTTTGAAGGAGTATAATAACTTTGTGGAAGCAGTGGAGAGCAGCCCACAAGCATGACTGTCAGAATAGCAGACACATTCTTATCTGACAATCAGTGGAGACTGTCATCAAAGAATGCTGAAAGCAGAAATTGATCTTGACTGGGAAGTGATCGAGATGGTAGATAGGGTGTGCAGAAAGGTTCTGAAGGCCTTTGAAAGTGAAGACAGAAGGCTTGTGTTTGAGGGTACAGTTATATAAAGTGTTTGCTTAGGTGGTAAAGCTAGCTCCAGGTCTGAAGGAGTGCTTTGCTGTCTTTCACCTTCTCACCTCGGTTGTAGTATTTCAGTTGTGTGTGGCTGTATGGACAAGTGGTGCTGGTTTTTCTGTTTGAACGTGTATGTGTGCTGTTCAGTGACAGCAAAAATATGGTGAGACCTGTAGCAGAGGATTAACAAACAGTGTTTAGTGGCCTACCTTTCTGCTTTTCATTTGCTCATGTAGGAGCTCAAGGTCTTTATTTTTGAAATGTTTTCATTTGGTACTTACTCATTTTCATAGTGTTATCTTTAGTTCAGTAAATCTGATACTGAGTTTCAACATTGTGTGCAAAGTTTAAGGTGAAGATTCTATTGAGAGCTGCCCCACAGGAAGCAAACTATGTCATCAGCTAGTGTTGAATTATAATTTCAGGTTAATGATGAATATGAAATTCATCATTAAAGAGCCAGTTTATGCTGCTTTTACTTAATATAGCGAAGGGGATTTTATCTGTTTCTGTGTGTGCATGTATACAAATAAGTACATACAAGTAACAAGAACAGTTTTCCATATTACTTTTAATTAAAACAAATTCCTTTGTGTAAATCTGACTTTAAGTAGAGTTTATTCTTTTCCAAAGGTTTAGGAAGGTTTGGCAGAGCCTTTGGTTGGGTTTTATGCCATTTTCGGTTAAGAATTCCAGTTTGAAGAGTTCTTGTGTTTTCTATGAATTGTTTGATGTGAAAAGAAATATTTTAGGTAGGAGATTCTCTTTCAAGGATACTGCCTTACTAAGGGAGAAATACCATGTCCTACAAATGTAAGTTTAATAAATGTTTTTTCAAGACTTGTTCAACAGAGGAAGCAGCAGAGTAAAGGCAGGCTGCAATAGCTGCTAGAAAATGCCTTGCAGCATTTGGTTCAGACACTTGTCGTCTTTGTATTTCCAGTGTTTTCAAATGAGTGGCTGAAGAGGAGATACTGAACTGCTTTGCTTAAAGCTGGATTAATATTCATATGTTCTAGCTGGGCAAGCAAGAGTGACCATGTAATTTACCTATTTTTTTTCTACTAAGCACTTTCATATGAAAAGTCTTTAAAAGCAAGGTATCTGACACTTTAGATTGCAGTAATTCTGCTTGCAAAAGAAGAAGTTGCCTTTGTGAATTTATTCAAAGATGCCTGCGGGCACATTTCTTAATACTCTAGAAGTCCTTCCACTGCTATGGTGTTGCCTCAACCTGAATAGCTGGCTTGCTTGCCTAACTGTCTGTTACCATGTTAGTAATTTTGGACAGTTTTCATGTGAATTTGTCAGCATATTTCTTTTTGAAGTCTTTTTCAGGGCTAAGTAATGCTGATTTCAAATGTCTGAAACTGATTACTATGAAGGTATGAGTGGTCCCGCTTGATTTCTTCTGTGCTTGTGCCTGGCCCCAAGGAGAGCTTCAGTGTTGGTGTGCTGTCTGCAGGCAAAGATAGAGGGGCGACCCTGACCTAATCCTAGTGCTTAGTCTGGGTGAGTGAGCCTTGCTTTTAGGTAGAATCATAGATCATAGACTCATAGAATGCTTTGGGTTGGAAGGGCCCTTT